ATATTAATTTGGATAAATGTTAATTTATTACTATTTTATAATAATAACTTAATTAGATTCTTAATTTTAAAGAGAGAGAGAGAGAGAGAGAGAGAGAGACTGTAAAGGTGAAATGAGTGTATAATATATCTACTTATTAATTTATTATAGATTTAAAAAGTTTGGACATAATCAATTTTAACAAATGGTTAAGTAAATATATTGTTATTATGATAAGTTGCAAAATAGCAATAAACACAAAAATTTAAAGTATTTTTTATGCTATTTGAAATGCGCAATCTTTTAAATTAAAAATAAATAATTATGATATTTTTATATAGGTATTACATAATGTATTAAATGTAGTTTACATTAAATAAAGCAAAGCATAAAATATTTACACAAGTGAACATTGTTAAATAATTAACAAATTCAATTCATTAACAAATCATTTTTTACCTAATATTTACTAATTACTAAAATAGATACAATACATCCACACATAGGGTGTGAATAACAAACACTTATATAATAATCTCCTATGGGATTAATAAATGTATATTTAAACACAAAAAATAATTTATTTTTAATTTAACTTTTTGCACTTAATCACGATTTTTATGCAAAACTTTATTGAATGTTATATAAATTAATATATGCATGAGTGATAAAGTTAAATGTCAAATCTCTCAAGAATTTAATAAAATATATTATCAAAATATTATATAAAATTTTTATGAATAATAATTAATGTATTTATTTAAATATAATCATAATTATGTCGAAATTCTTTAAATAAAATAAACGATTTGGAGCAATACTTGTAAATATATAAACAAATCATGGTTATTGTAAATCCTGTAACAACTAAATTACCAAAATTAGATAAATATAAAACTGTAAAAATTACTTAACCATTTAAATGTTAATAACATTTTAAAAATACAACTTGCTATATGGCCGCACTTATGTTATGACCTAGTCGTAATTATTAAGAATATTCTTGCTAAATTATATTTAGTTTTATTTTAGATATTATTAGTTTTAAATGTGAAATAATTGATATTCTTATAGATATACAGGTGTATTCATTATTTTGCACCTACTTTACACATATCTGTTATTACAAATTGACATAAAAACTTATCATAATAAAACTTACCTACACAAAATTACCTAAATTTTAAAATCACCTACATCACAAAAAACCCACAAAACTAACCTTTCTTAATCACCTCCGGGTGCTTCTCGACAAACAACCAGCCCATGTGGGCGTAGAAGAAACCCCTATTGGCGTTATGGGGGTCGGCGTCCGTCTCGGAGTACTTATGGTGAATCCTATGGTCGGCCGACCACTCGTATATATCCCGTTGCAGTGACAACGTCTGGGCGATCATTAGGTACAACCTTAACGGCCACTTGGCTTTGAACGACCGGTGCGACCACAGCCGGTGGGCGCCGGCCGTTACGCCCGGCGCCGTCAACAGGTGTATCACGTTTTGCCAGATGTATGTCTGCCACCGGATGTCCCCGAATAGCATCAGGTATAGCCCGTAGAGGGCGGCCAAGTGGGCGAACGTGAGCGCCCATATCATAGGCCATACGATTTTCCACCCGTTGTAATACATGCACCGATCGCTATGATAAACACGTGGTAAAAATTGCATATTTACTAATTAGTTTATGTTTGTAATTATTATGTGTAATATTGATGATTGTAATTAATTGTAACAATTTTTACAAACTTGCTTTTTGTAGATTTAAATAATTTTTGTTTAACTGAATTTTTATTGTTATTGTTTTAATGAATTACAACAGGAAACTAACGGTATTTTTAACCAAATAGTCAAACAAATAATACACTGGAAATGATCGCACATTTTTAATAGTAAAAAATGTGTTATTTTACTTATGGTATTTGATTTTCCAGTTCTGTATACAGTATACACTCAATACATGTAACAATTATTTATTTAATAATTAAATCTAGTGGTTAGAGTTTTTGTAAAATAGTTAACACATATGTACACAATATAAATATATTTTTAATCTTGGTCGTCTTATTATTTAGAAATGTGCAAACTTCTAGTGTGCAAACTAAGTTAACTAAATCAGGCAAATGTACATAATTACAAATGTAAATATTCTACGTGATAATTAATATATTTATTATTCATTTAATTGCAACACATCCATGATTAATGTGGACTAAAGGTATGCGTTATTTAATATATGTATTTCTGATTCAATTTTATGTTTCTGTAATAATATTTAAATGATAAATAGCTATAAAACCTAAATGGTATGGGAATGGGATACCAGTGCCAGTGTATGGGGACAGGTATGCCAAACGTGACAATCAATACACTTTCACATTAATAGCTTATGTACAGTAAATGAATTAACTATACCCACATGTGTAAAACAATCATTACACCATGTTGTAACATGCAATTAATGCCCAATACTGTGTGCGTGCCTATCCCTTGCACCGGTAGTTTTTGTGTGTATTGGGTGTTGGTTTGTTTTTTTGGTTAGTTTGAAAATGGTTGATTTTATAATGAATTGTTATTTATTTTGTGACAATTCACTATTCAGAATGTTATATGTTATTTAATTTAAACATGTGTGTGATTATTGTCAACACCATTATAATGCGATAAATAAATGTAACGTTTATATTGGCTTAAATGGAAACCTAATTGCTTCATTATGAATCAGTGTTGCTAAAATTCTGAAATTGATTTCATAATTTAAGTTCACATCTTTAGGCTCCAGAATTTAAGTTTTATCCAGATCGGGTGAATAGTTTAGGAACAGGAATTTTTCAAAGTATGTCACTTATTTTAATGTATTCCTATGGGAAGGGGTCCGTTTTTGTATTTACCGATGGTTGAAATCATGGTTAAATTGATCATGATCAAATACTAATCGAGATAATTCAAAACCCCTCCTCTTCTGAAACCTTTATTATTCAATGCATATAACGATATGCTATTCATTGGCCAACACTGACCGCTACCCCAACTGTGGCCACACAAAAATCGGTGATTAACCCGATTGGCGGCCTGTGTTCGGTCGGTTCGCAATTNAATCGGTGATTAACCCGATTGGCGGCCTGTGTTCGGTCGGTTCGCAATTGATTCCCGTTATAATTGATGTCATGATATCTGCACTAAACTATTGTCTGATAACTAATAGTGAATCCCAATAATCAAATAATTACTTCAAACACAACTTTAGCAAAAATATTTTTACTTTAAAAATGAGATAATTTTTAGTGAAATATTTTGTTGTAAATTTTTTAAAATAATTCCGACCGACAAACTTTGAAAAAATCCTGTTCATTAACTACTCATCCCATCTTGATGAAACTTGGATTCTGGTGCCTAGAGATGTGAACTTAAATTATGAAATCAATTTCAGAATTTAAGCTACACGGATTCATAGTGAAGCAATTAGGTTTCCATTTAAGCCAATATTTTGCTATGTTAAATATAGTACAAATATTGCTTCAAATGTAATAATAAAATAATCATAATTATTTGAATTATTGACAAATAATTATTTTTGTAATCATTTAATAAATTAAGTTATACGAATTAATCTTTAATATTAAATATTCTGTCTTGGTCCACTTTTGTATTACGATTAATTTACTCGTGATCAGTTTAGCATGTATTTATTCAATATACACAACATGTTAACCCCAATTGATTATTGCATAATATAGCATTTTATAGTTTAGGTAATATTTATTATTATCCAATACGGGTATATGTTATTGCAAATATATTGTTGTATGTAAAAGTCAATGTTGGTAATTTTAGTAAATTTTATTTTGTTTGTTATGAAGTTATTAAGTATTTATAACTCTAAATGTTATAGTTTCTCATATATCACCACAACATGAGGCATGCATTTTGTATTAAATATCTTGTGTTTTATCTTATCAGTGAATTACGAAAATGCAATGAAAATAAATTATTGAATGTGTGTATATATTTGGTAACTCTCTCTCTCTCTCTCTCTCTCTCTCTTTAAAATTAAGAATCTAATTAAGTTATTATTATAAAATAGTAATAAATTAACATTTATCCAAATTAATATACAAATAAAAAAGCAATTATTAAACACTTTAGGAATTAATAAAAAGTTTTTAAATTAAAACTTTATTTTCAAAACTGAATTATAAAATAAATAATGAAATATAAAATATTTAATAAAATGATTTATTATTTATAAAATAAACTACTAATGTAAAAGTGAATTTTTTGGTTGTTTTTAAAAATTTCCAAATGAATATTGCTAAATTTATTTATAATCATACTAATATTGACATTTAGCTATATTAGACATCTATTAACAAAATACTTGTTATTCTTAAAAAGAAATTTAATTGAATGAAAATAATAGCATAAATTGGGCGGAAAATAGCATTAAAATATTTATAATAATAAATGTCGCTATTATCAGTATTTTATAATGGTTATTAAATGACTATTTGTCTACTATTAATAAATCTAGTTGGTCGTGGACAATTAATTTAATCATCATTAACTCATGTTATTTGTTAAAAACAACAAAAAAAAACATGATAATAATTTTAAATAGACTTACATTTTTATAATCTACTTATACCATATTAATATAATAATGTAATGATTTTATTTTGTTTGCTACCTTATTATAGCCAAAAATATCGACCTGAGCGATTTACTAGAAGATCCAATTGTATACTACCAGCGCAAGTTTTATTTGCCCTTGGTAGCGATCATATGGTTTGCCATACCGGTATTATTACCAT